CACACAACCTATGTAGGTACTATCTTGTGGGACCACCTTTACTTGGTCTATTTTCTATACAAAGAGCCTACCTAGCCCAGTGTCTGGCCCAGAGAATCCACTCTAATATCCATTCATAGAATTCCATTCAAATATCCAGGGAAAGAATTAATTTTTCTTTCAGTAACCTATAAAGTAAGCATCTTGTTTTGCCACTTTGAGAGATGTCTGTTTCTTGAATTTTAAGTTCATTTTTTTCCCCAGAACTGAGAGCTAAGAAGTAGCAGAAGTGGGATTTGGAACTAGGTCTTCATGATTCTAGGACTTCTTTACTGTTGTGCAGTAGCACATCAGACAGGGTGGGCTGTTTCTGGATGCTCAAGGCACAGTTGTGGTAGAGTGAATAGAGTGGAGTCCTGGGTGTATTCCTGAAGCCCTCACCTTCCTACTCCCCACTGGTGACCATTTATTTTTCTTCTACCTCTGGCTTCTTTATTTGTAAACTTGCCAGTTTACAAATGACAACCGGTGAATTTCTTATATGAAGATAACAGGAGTGAGTATGTGTGAATTAGGAAGTACTAAGCAAATATAAAGGGAATTATTATTCTTTTAAAATTTCTCTTGCTAATTAGTATGCAAACATTTATGGAAAGTCAGTGGAGAAATATTGGTGATGAGTAAAGAATGGTTTTAAAGCATTGTACCAGTACTTGCAAACTTTTTCTGTAAAGACCCTGATATTAATTGCATTTGGCTTTTGGGGGCCACTAAGGTCCTTGGTTACCACTAATTAATTCTGGTGATGTAGCATGAAGTCAGTCGTGGATGGTAGAGAGATGAGCAGGCAGAGCTGGTTTTCAATTAGACTATTTGTCAAAACAAGTGGTAGGTTGGATGTGCCTCACAGGCTGCAATTTATGAAATGCAGTGTGGGTAAGATGGCATGACCTGTGGTTAAACAGGGTAGATGGGCGCTCGCGCACACACACGCACACACACACACACACACACACACACACACATACACACACAAACACACACACACAATTATGTTAAGTTTGTTAGATATATTCCAGGATTACCACTTTTAACAATTTTGGAGATGAGAACAAATTAAATATATAAACCATGATTGTATGTTCAATAGCCTCCTAAAATGTGCAAAGGCTGAATATGAATAAATACAGCTATTTGGTAGGCCTGATTGTTTCTGTTTGTTTATTTAATTTTGGAATAGATATTCTGATTTTGACCTCTAATTGCCATTTGGCTTATCTTTTATCCTTTCACTGTGTCCTGAAGCTGATAATGGTCAGTCTAGCCAACCAAACCTTTTTGCTTATTTTATTACTGTTTGTCCTGTAGATATTTATGTTTGTGATTCCTGTAGTCTTAAATATGCATATTCTCAAAAGCCTGAAGTGAGTTACAGAATGAAATAAATATGTCCTTTGCTAAACTAAAATAGAGTAGCTTCCAGAAACAAAATAATTGATCTTCTTAGCAAACATTTTACTCTTAGGTAGCTCTTCTGGATGTGGGTGTGTGTTGTCTTCCACTAAAGTTTAAATAGCCAGTAATTGCTAACATAGTTTGTGATTTGGCTTCCTGTGTGTAGTTTATGAAAAGATCTTTCCGACAGCCACAGGGGAGGTGGTATTTGTATAAGATCACAAGCGGTTTATACAAAAGGAAAATATTGTTTATTCACATCAGTGTCTTGCTCTCAAAATCTTCCCATAACTAGATGAGATTTTCTTTTTTAAATAATTGATGAGTTTATTTTTGTGTCTTCCCATATTCTGCTGAATTGTAATAGATTTGCATTCTTGTAGCTGAGGATCCTCCTATAAAGGGAATGCAAAATATGTGCTACCTTCCCATAAATTTCAAGTTTGTAAGGTASAATGGAGACACCACTACAAACTCAGTCATTGAAAACCAACAYCAAAATGTGTTTAGCTATAAGTCAGTAGTAAGACTCATGTGAGAGATGAAACCCTCATACTAGTGTTCATCCCAGTATGTTAAAGCTGTATTTCTGAATGCTTGTGTGTAATTATGTAGCTCATCATGTGGACATTTATTAGCTTCAATATTCAAAATTATTTCTTTTCCTGAGTACATACTTAAGCACAATAGGTTTAAAATTGTGATAGCGGATTCTTAAAGGATAAACAATCTGTARTATATCCATATGATAGAATACCATTTAGCAATTAAATGAGAAACTTGAAAATTTAAAAGTCACTATGCTAAGTGAAAGATGCCCATCTCAAACATTTACATACTGTATGATCCCACTGATGTGATATTCTGGGAAAAAATTAAAAATGTGATGAGAAGGGGCTGGGGATGTGGCTCAAATGGTGGCACGCTCGCCTGGCATGCATTCGGCCCGGGTTTGATCCTCAGCACCACATACAAACAAAGATGTTGTGTCCGCTGATAACTAAAAAATAAATAATAAATATTAAAAAATTCTCTTTCTCTCTCTCTCTCTCTCTCTCTCTCTTTAAAAAAAAAAATGTGATGAGAGCTGATTAGGAGTTGCCAGGGATTAGGAATTGGAGGAAGTTCTGACTCTAGTGGTATGGAAGAGAGGGGTGTTTGGGGTAACAGAACTGTTTTGTATCCTAATTGTGCAGGCATTAGTCAGATTTGTCCGTGTATTAAAAATCTCAGCACTCTCACACAGGTAACATGTCAATTATGCTGATTAAGAGCAARAATTTTCTTCAAATGATTGATAAACTAGTGACTTCTGTTGACATAAATATGAATTGTGCTCTTTTTAGTGAAAACAAAGATATTGATATAGTTATTAGGTTTACAAAATAAGGTGAATACTCAGTTAATAATACCAGAGACTCTATGCAAGAGTGTAGGGGAATATTCAAAGTTATGTGTCCCCCAGTGGCTATAAGTCGTCCTCTCGTGCATATGGAACATTTTCCTGTTCTTTATGGTAATCACTTTCCTGCCTCGGTGTGTATATATGGTGTATGACAGTTACAGTGGCTGTGGGAATCATAACTTTAAGTTCCGTGACTTTTCTGTGAGTAAAACCAGCCATAATGTTGAATTAATGCCATTCCTCACATTGAATTTCCCTGCTGTTATAAGTGGAAGGCTTACCACATTTTGAATAAGAGCTCTGTGTCCATTTCTGATAGCATGTAAATGATGGTGGTTGTTTTGTCATTTAATTAACGTCATCATTAAGTACAGTGAGGCCAACCTGGGAGAATATATATCGTGTATAAATCTCTCTAGGGGGACCAAATTTAGGCATCCATCTGGCCTCTTTTCCCATTGCAAGTAGAAGATACCAGGCCAACATGATCTGTGGCTACTAACAGATATTTTAAACAGAAATTCTGAACCTAGACATGGTAGTTTAAAAAAAAATTGTCTTGAAACAGGATTGGTCAAATGGAACTTACTTCATTTAACCCACTTGAGAACAATAGTGGGGAATTTTCAGGCTGCAGAGCATCAGATAACACTGGTGACTCTTGGCTCTGCATGTGAAGTCATAGTTATTGACCTAGTAATCGGGAAGAAGTTGAATTCATGGGATTTGAYAGTGTACAGTATTAAAGATATATGAAGAGATCTTTTAACCTTGTGAAAGTTGAGTAAGGTAATTGATTTCTATCATAAAGCAACTTTTGGACTGGCCTGCTGACTCACCTAGGTGTCTAATTTTTAGAGATAGCACATAAGGGAGATACCAAGAACACAAAGGACAGGTAGTTTAACAAAGTACCTGCTGCCCCCTTTCTTGTTTGCTGGGAGGTTGAGCCCAGGGTTCCTTTTTTGTGGAAGCCAACTCCTCACCATCACTGTTGGGGCCTGAGAGATATATAGCAGGAGAATAGAACTGATTCCCTGCCTGGAACTGGGGTTTTTATTGCCTCATCTAGCTCTGAGCATGTATGTCTTGGAAGGCACCCTACCATCCAGGATCTCTAATTGTGCCCAAGATGTTCCTAGTGGTCACTATGGAAGGAAGAACAAAGGACATTTCCTCAGTGCCTTGGGTCCTGGCTCCCATCCCCAATGATTCATGGTCATCTAATCAATCTCTGCAAACCTCTTTCCTGTCTCCAAAGTGGCCTCTAAACCTTGGAGTTATCTAACCATTTTTGGAGGGGGAAATCCCATCTTTTTTTCCACACAAGAAATCAGCTCTGGCTGATGTACCAGAAAAACAGGAATGTGCTCCCATGGCTTGGGGGGTGGGTGGGATCTGCTCCTCCCAGTCCTCTCCATCCTGCCTTTTATTACAGTCAGCTGTCCTCACAGAGCATGAAAGCTCTTCTGTGCACACCCTCGTTTGTGCACTTAAGACCTGACACAACTAAGATCTCTGMTGTTACCCTACTAACTAATGAATTGTGCAAGTTTTAATGCCTCGTGGAATCACATCCAGCGTGGGGGAGGTATGTTTATATTAGGAAAGATATATCTCTCACTGTGAGCTCATTTGGGCAGAATTTGCATTTCCTAGTTTTGGGTCGGTGACCGACTATATAGTTGCTGGGCCCATGGAGATCTGGTTTGAGGAAGGTCGTTCACATCTTGAAATGCTTCCTACATTATTGACATGCTCAGTTCTCTGGATCTCAAGTTGCTTCCCTCCCTTGGAGTTGGGAGGCCAGCCAGGCTTGTCCTGGGAGGGATCAAGCCCTGATGGCCCACCCTTCTGTTTTCACTTGATCATTGGTATTCGCTTGCTAAGCATGTGATGAACTAGGGCAACCCATGGTCCAGCAGGAGAATAGAACTGGTTGTCCCAATATTCCAGTCAATGACTTTGGTGGCAAAAGCTGTGGACAAACTAATGCCTTTCAGTTCACCTCTTCTGCCCACACAAACAGGACAGCAGCCCACACACCTGAAACTGGATATGCAAATATCAGATTTCCAAAGGGGAAGACCTGAGAACAGATATCATCATGGGCAATCATTCATTTGCTTTTTAAATGAAGGCTTTTCTTCTTCTTTTGCAGAAGTTACATGGCAATGGTGATCTGAATGCGTCTTTGACATCTCAACATTTTGATGAACAATCTGTGAGTGACATTCCTTAAAAACAAACACTGAAGTAAACATTATAAGTGTTTCTCATCAAATGTTCATATTTCTTTGTCTCTTTTACTTCCAAAGAATATAAAAGCTCTACCCACCTTCACAAACCAGCCTTGCCAATTTTAGCTGGAAGAAATTAATTCAGTACGTATTGATTGGTCATACTGGAACAGAGTCTTCTAAAAATACACAGAAGCTATGAAATTGAGAGAAATGGTAAAGGAGACAAAGCCATTTTGAAGTCCTTTGAAATTTTCTAAAGAAGACTTGTCAAGGGCGGCTTTGGCCACAGAATCTATGAATTGTCTAATAAATGAATGATACATATTTTCATCTGTCCTCTTTGAGGAGAGGCAGACATTTAAACTGGCTCAATAATTTCACTGGATTCATGTAATATATATTAAAAAATTGACTTCAACTTTATGGCCCTAAGAGACGATGTGTTTCTGGAAAGGAAAGTGATGCGATTTGGGGGAGGTGAGAGAAGGAAAGTAAGAGGAGGAGACCCCCCAAGAGTGGGTGCCAGAGAATGAAAGAACATGTGGCAGATCTGGGAGACTGCTGGGCAGGGACGGTGTGGATGTCCCTTGTGGGTACAAGCAAGGGACGTGTGTCTGATGGTCGAGAGGGCTTATCAGGAGGGATCTGCTGAGTGTCAGGCACAGAAAAGCTTACCACAGGTGGAGGAGGTGTGCCACAGCTGTTGGGGATGGGTGTGAAGGTGGAGACTGGGAGGCATTCTATCTCTGAGGTTGGAAGCGTGGCCACCAGTTCATGGAGCCACGCTGGCAGCTGTATTTCTGCAGGCTGTTTCCTCTAGGAACTCTATCATACTATAAGGAATCCCAGAGAAAATTGATGAGTTTGAGGGTTCTCAGAGATTGGCATATCCCTTATGTAATCATTGGGAAGTTCATCCTGTGAAGAAATCATCATGATTGCCTTTGAATTCCAATAAGATCCTCCTGGGGGGAAGAAGAAGGATTTGTTAATAAAATGGTTGTGTTAATCAACTTTTCATTGCTGTAACTAAAATACCTGGCAAGAACCACTTAGAGGGGGAATCATTTATATGGGGTTATAGGTTTGGAGGACTTGGTCCAGGGTCAGCCAGCTCCATTGCTCTGAGCCCAAGGTGAGACAGAACATCATGGTGGAGAAAATCTGCTCAGCTCCTGGCAGTCAGAAAGCAGAGAGGGTGGGTGGTATTGGAGTGGGGAAGGGGTCAGGAGGAGAGAAACCCTTCCAGGGCATCCCCTAGTAGCCAACTTCTTTCAGCTGGGACCCACCTTTGAGTTGTCCATTCGACCATCAATGGGCTAATCCAAGGAGATCAGAGTCCTCAGAACCTCACCTCTGAATACCTGAGGGTTGGAGGACAACCCAGATCTAACCCTCAAGAGCGATGGAAATAAATCATCAGTGTGAGTGGGGCTTGGAGATAACACTTGACAATGGTTGTGACCTTCTTCCTTATTGAATTTTAAGAATGTCTTTGCTCTTGTAGAAATTTTCTTATTGGGTTCAAGACTTGGTGATTTAAATGCCTCCTTTGTCTCTACAGACTCTCGAGGAGGCTGGCGATGGCCTCAGTAACCTCCCCAGCCCTTTTGCATACCTCCTCACCATACACCTGAAGGAAGGACGCAACCTGGTTGTACGAGATCGATGTGGTAAGGCCGGTTCTGTTGGCTCTTTGTAGCCTGAAAACTTTTTTTCTGTCCACCCTTACGTGAAGGTTGTCAGTCATGTTTTTCATGTCGGCGTGGTTTAGGACACACCAGAACGGAAGCCTAAGCATCTCCAGGCACAAGACGTATGCAGGGAATTCTTTAAATGCCCTGAACCCTGCTGTCATTTTTAAAAATTATTAAATTAACAACACTAACACATAAAGTTACTTTAGAATGAATAACTATGGTACCCTAATAGTTGCTTGGCACATAGCAACTATTCATAAGTACGTGTGTTTGACCCTATTCCTTAACTATCTATAAGAAAGCTGTGAGTAGTGGTTTTTTTTTTTTTTTTTGGATGAGGTCATCAAATAGACACATTGATAGAAATGTCCCTTAAATCCCCACCCCATCATTCTGCCTTGAAATTCCACTGAACTCTCTCTAAAAGTTATTATCTGAGATGATTCTGTACAAACTCCTGGCATCTCTGTATACATTTCCTTATGTTCATACCTACATATATATGTTGAAATTGAGATGGAACTGTAATGCCCACATTATCCTAGCATAAGCTCTTTTTTAACCTTCCAATATTTTGAAGATTGATAACAATATCTTGAAGTTTTCCCATGTAAATATCTTTTTAAAGACAATGTAATACTCCATACTATGAAATTTCATTTATCTCTTCTAATGATGATGCCTGTTTTTTGCCTACTTTGTTGACCACATAAATGATGTGTATGCCCCTGTGTGCAGAAAAGGTTATTCTTTACATAAAAAAAAATCTCATGGGTTTAAGAACAGACAGTGAATCAGGCTGTCTGGGATCAAATTTTGGCTTCTTAATTCTTTGTTATCTGATTTTTAGGTTTCTAGGTTCCTCACCTATAAAACAAGAACACTAAAACAAGGTAATAATAAAAAAACTTTTAGGCTTTTAGGAGTATTGTAGACATATACTGACGTAAAGTCCCATGTGCTAAGTTGAGATTTTCTTTTTTTATAACTCTTAAAAATTTTCAGCATTTACATTTATTGTCTGATGCAAATATTTGTCTCCCCATCTGTTGCCTCTCCCTAATCTTATGGCCTCTTGTGTCCTTCAGAGGTTTTGCATTTCATCATACAAATATCACTGTGGTTTTTTTTTTTTATGGTCTCTTTTTTCCATGCATTTTGTTTAGTGGTTGATGACTTCGTCTTCCTATTCTAAGGAGTCTGGGTCTTGTTTCAGGCCGTGGCCTCTCTACTCCTTTTGGAAGAGCTTTACGCAGAATGCAGGGTCTTGGCTCTGTCCTCTGTGTCTCTCACCTCTCCTTCCTCCTCCATCCCATAGCCTTTTCCTTTGGGGAGGAATCCCTTGGTTTGGTTTTCACTCATCCATCTTCTGGTTGGTTGTTAACTTTGTGCTCCTCTGTTCACTAATTGAGCTGTCATGTCTTCATTGCTATCACAGCCTAATTTTGTGTTTCAGAGGAAATGATGCCATCTCCATCTGAGAAGATCAAGGACACATTTCTAATCTATTGGGCGCTTTCTTGCCCTGGGATAGCAGTCTGTTGTATTTGCTGTGGGACTTTAGTTTCCTTTGCAGGTCTGATTCTCTGAAGAGCTGTGTCTGTCTTGTTAGGCATGTGTCCTTGGTCCCCCATTTATGGATGCTATTTTCCTTTGCTGTGTCCTGCCCTGTTTGACAGTAAGGGGGCTGGGGCATGCAGTTGGACAAGATGAGCCAGTAGTTCAGACTGAACACTTCCCAGTCCTCCTTCCTGTTCCTCCTGGTTATCAAGTGACACTTAAGGCCTCCTCTCTGGCTTCCTGCCTGCTCTCCTGCTCCCCCACAAGGGCCTTTACTGGTCATTGCTCAACATCAAGGGAAAGGAGCCTAGTGACCCATTTTATCCTTTCTACAAACATTGCACCAACCCTGCTTAGGTGATTTCTGTTTCCTGTACCTGCTGCCTCTAAGTTTGGCGTATCCCTGATTGACTGCCCTGCAGTTTCTCATCCATTCCACCCCCGCCCGAGCTAGAAACCTTTTGACTATGACTTTCTACTGCTTATGTTTTGAACCATGGATTCTTTCATAAATTGCTCTCACCTGGTTTCCATTTGTCCAGACTATGTGAAGGATGTCTCATCCCCCCCCTTTTTTTTCTTAAAATTTCTCTCATGTTCTTCTTTTTTTCTCTCCTATTTTCTCAGATGTATCATTTCAAAATAACCACACAATTCCATTCTCTACTTTCTGGTAAGTACTTTTATCTGCAAATCACAATTGCTCATTTCTGCATTGTGCCTCTTCTTGGGTCCCATCATTGTCATAAACAAATCCATTCATAAACAGATCTCTTACGCTGTTTTCACTGATGGAGCGTAGACACCATTGTCTCCTGAAATAACATCAACAGGGTGTGGTCATCAATCAATGTGAACTTGCCTCCCATCAATATCCTGACTCTTGTGTTGAGGCTGCATGGTGTCCAGTAGGTACCTCTGTCAGATAAAGCTCACATCAAGTCCATTTTGTGACCACTTACTCATAGACTAAAAGAGTTCTAGAGAGACTATATTTAGCTTTATTGGGAAGAAGGTGTTCCTAAACATGCCCATTCATGTCCTATTTTAAATTTTTGGAATTTTCCCAAAGTATGAAATGTTGGGGATTTACAACTCTGGATCTCTACTATGGGCCGCTTATTGCTTTTCCAGTATTCCTTTTTTTTTCTTTTTTGGTTTATTCAAGGGCTTCACTGTCCTTGATCAATCCTACTGATACAGTTAGGGCACAGTTCTTAGTGGGTAGTCAGCACACACAGTGGATATTCATGAAGCACAGTGGATAATTGCAAATGTCACATAATGAACAAAACAACAGGTTTCATGTGCAGTTGCTCCATACCCCGTTGTTTTAAATTTTTAATTGGCATATGATAATTTTATATACTTATGGGGTATAATACAATATTTTGATAGATGTACATATTGTGTAATAATCAAGTCAGGGTAATTAACATATCGATTACCCGAACTTTTCCCATTTCTTTGTTGTGAGACCATTCAAAAATCCTTTCTTCTTGCTACATGAGATATGAATTGTGTTGTCATTAGCTATGGTCACCTTGCTGTGCAGCAGAATACCAGAGCCGCTTGCTCCTGTCTAACTGTAACACCCATTGGCTGATTGCTCCCCACCCGGCTCTTACCCCTGTGACTCCCAGCATCTGCTAGGCCACTCTCAACTTCTAGGACATCAACTTTTTGAGATCTCACAGCTGAGTGAGAACATGAGACACTTGTCTTTCTGTACCTGATTTATTTCCTTTAATATAGTGGTCCATCCGGGTTCATCATGTCACAAATGACAACATTTCAACCTTTTTATGTCCCCTAAATGTGCACCAATGTGTTTTACTACTATTAATTAGTAATAACAATGAAAATCTCCTGCATTTCTGACACCCAGTATAGAGCTCATTCCTGTGATCCACGGGAACACACCCATCACACCCATCCGTGAACTTGGGCCCTTGTGTCAATTTGTCAATGTCCCTGTGCCCTCTCTTTCTTGAACACAGGTTTTTGTTTGTTTTCCTTGGGACATCTTATTTTCCTGATATGAAATCATGTATTTTTAATTAAAAACACAGCAGATCCAATTGATCAGCTACTGATTTCCAGTCACAACATGAATGTCCTCTCAAAGCGTTCGGCTGTGTTGCCACCCTTGATGGTAGAGGAACTGCTGCTGCAGGATCTTTAATTCTAGTTGTGCAGTCTCCTCTGTTTTTTTGAGTTTGGGAGGAGAAAAGTCATTTTTGATGACTCACTCCCTTCTCATGAAAGAGCATTTTCTTTGAATTGTTACATAAGCTTTACTGTTGTTGTAACCTCTGTCTAGAACATGGTTGGCAAACATTGTATGTACAAGTCCAGCCAGGAGACAGTTTAGACTTCAATGGCCCATAAGTGACAACTATTCAACAGTCTTGACATAGTTGGAAAACACCAGTAGATAAGAAGTAGATAAGTAAGCATGGCTGTGTACCAATAATCTTATTTACAACAACAAGCAGTGGGATGGATTTGCTAACCTCAAATATTAAGTTCTTACATTGCTTACTATAGATTCTTGCTCTATGAAACTTTTTTAAATTAGCGAACTAATTATTTGGAATAAAGGAGGTACAGCATTTAATTAGGCAGTGATCAATATTGGAAGTTTATGCTTTCAATGGAAGTTTCTGTGTAGGAAGCATCTTGGTGGTAATATGACCTAAAATAATGCGCAAAATCTCGAGATTGAGAAGCAAAAAGTCATCATTTTGATATTTCACTGGGCAGCAGAGGGAAGAGACAAGGCATTTTTCTCAGAAAAGACAGCTCTGACAAATCTCAAGAATGAGTGTTAAATGGTACTTATAGGGTTTGTGAGTGATGTTTGGAACCCCAGTCTCTTGGACCAATGGAAGGTGGCAGGTGGGGTTGGGGTCCTGGAAACAGAGCATCGTCTGCTGGTATCATTGGCCTGGCTGGGCAGTGGACTTCACTGTTTAAAATGCTGTGATCATTTTATCTAATATAATTCCTCACTTCTCTGGCTCAAATACATTTAGCTTGTTGGCTTATTATGTAGACTCTCAAAGTGGGATTTTGAGATTTTCTGTGTGTTTTTTTTTTCCTGAAGAAGCTTTTTAACCTACAAAATTGTAAATTATTCTTTGGAGAGAAATCAGAAGGATGCTCAGACTTCAGAATCCTGGGCAGATTGGGCAGTGGTGTCTGGGAAGGAGTCATGTTGTATAGTTGCTACCCAGGGTGCTGAATGATCAACTTTGTCCTCTGTCCCCTGTACTGTGTGTGTGTGTGTGTGTGTGTGTGTGTGTGTGTAAACCCAGAAAAAGCCTGCCCATCATTAAAAAGAATCGAAGTTAGTGAGTGATGAAGGAATAAGTCCTTATCCTAAACATGCCAATACACTCAGGAGTGAC